GGTTTCAAATTCGGAATGCACGTAAGCATGTCCATTCGTTCATCTGAGAAAATTTGAAGAGGAGCCACACTTTTCGAAAAATATGTCCACCTGCCTATGTAATAAATCGAATCATAAATTACAACAAGTACACCATATAAATTTTCACTTTTATTGTGAAAATAGAAAAAATCATCCGTGCATTCATTATTTAGTAGTTACCAATAATTTTCCAATGAGTAGTTTTTTCCCAAATTACTAAATAATAAACTGACAACAAAAGGGCATAATAGACCCCCGGCCATCAGATAAAATCTCAAATTTGTTTCATCTATTAACGGAGATATCACCGCAAATTTTAAAATTCGGACTTTTCAATACTACCGATCAGTACAATCATTCCGATTGACAAAAAATATGTGGTTATTTCCTCAACGGATGCTAGGATGACAAGTTTCCAAATCAGTCTTTAAAAAAATTTCTCTATAAAAAAGCCCTAGATAGCATTACAACGTTTATAGACACAATCTCGATTCTATGCGATAGTAATTTACTTGTCTTCGCTGGAAACCCGCGCGCGACGGACAACGTCTTAATGTCAAAATCACTAACAAACATATGACCAATTTTCGCTAAACTTCATGACAAACTTAACTCAGTTAATGGCGTAATTTATGCCCCGTGCTTAAAAGATGAACCGGAAGACGAAATAATTAGCGAAATGGGCCATCAAGGCGTGACTGAAGTTTATAAATTCACCAAATTAAATGATGATCGAAAACCTCGCGCTCCTATAGGAAGGATAATTGTGACTTGTGATTGCTATCGATCATCGCAAACAGTTGATGTGGCTTGGTATAAATGTAAAGTGGAACTCTATATTCCAAATACCATGAGATGCAAAAACTACCAAAGCCTTGGTCGTATGGCAAAAAGGTGCAACAGTGCTCCATTTCGTGCTAACTGTGATCTTTTTTCCAAATGCTGAAAGCTGTACGCGTAGTTTCTGCTTAAATTGCAATAATTAACACACGGCATTAGACAAACAATGCCCACGTTGTGTACAGATGCGTGAAATTCTAAAAAACAAAACAAAAAATCACTGTAGCATGGGCGAAGCGCGACGCAAATACCGAGAAATAAATCCATCTGTAGGCCAAGAAATTGGCAAAAGTAATACTTACGCTGCTCTTGCCTCGCTAATCGAGCCTAATAAGCATTTAACTCCAACTCCTTCCAATGAAAAACCTGTTCTACCATCAACCAAAAATTATACTGCCACACCAGTTCCATCGCCCGCCAAAGATAATATTGAAAAAACCAAAGCAACGCCAAATATTGAAAAAATTAAAACAACAACACGTATCTTAAAATCTAATAAACTAAATTCCCCAGAATCATCAGCTCTCAACCTAGTCAACAAATTGTAAGTTGTAATGAATCCAACCATTCATCCATTAATCAACTTTCAATTTCAAATTATTTACGTGCGCCTACTCGTTCCACTTCAAATGTACGCAACCACCTTAGTACAGATTATTCTGCTGGCAAGAATAAATTATTCAAAAATTCCTATAGCGGCATTTTCTACAGCGGCGCTTACATATCAACATAATTCACGTACCACTCCATTTCCAAGCCACGAATTATTAATAAATCTGGTAAACTCCGTACACGCATAAGTGATTTTAATCCAACCTTTATATCGCTTCAAGAGACCCATTGTAGAAGCTCTTTTAATCCTATTCCTCCCAAATGCTGATCAAAATTTAAAAAGGGCAATGCTCTATTCAGGAAGGAATTACGAAAATCAAAGGCACTTAATTTCGAACTTTTCTCGAAAAGAATTCACAGAAATACATTAATGAAAGTTGTCTGGAAAAAAATCAACAGACCCAATGGGACTTCAAATTTGAACGAAATTTCTGCCATCTGCACTCCCAATGGAACTTTAACTGATGCAGATGAGATTTCTAATTATTTTCGAAAAGTGTGGTGCGAATATTCCTCTGACTGCCACTTTTCCAATTCTTTCATCGAAAATAAAAGGACTCCAATTTCCCTTTCAAATGCTATTGACAAATGTGCCATGATCCTGAAAAAGTGTATATCTGCCTTAGAACTTGAAAGTTATTCCTCCAAATCGAAGGGGAGGACACCTGGTTTAGATCGTATCTCAAGCCAAATGATCAGTGCTCTGTCTAATTCAAATAAAACGAAATTACGGTATCTATATAATACGGTATCGAAATCGTGGAATGTTGGAAGCAAATTCGTCAACCACATCAAATCATTCCTGTCGCATCGGCGGTTTAAAGTTAAAATCAACAATCATCTCTCTGATTCCTTTCCACTGTCTTTGTGTCACGTTTTTTCAGATCGCTTTTAATGAGATTAGTAAAATTCTTTGTTGGGTACCGAGAATCGAACATTGTCTCCAGGCGAATGATGTATACATTTTAACAAAAGAAAAAGATAGCACGAAGGTAATCAACACGCTCGAATCTATTGGGCGAGAGATCTCCTCATGGGCAAACTTGTCAGCCGCTAAAATTTCAATACAAAAACCAAAAAAAAAACGCACATTTGTCGAAAGCAAATATGTGATGCAGAAAATCTACTGATGCATATTAATGACTAACTACTAAACGTGCAGACGTTGCATATTCTCGGGCTTACGTTTTCCAACAAATACCGTTGGAAAGCACACTGTCTTAGGTCAAAACAATTTTATTTTAACAAGCGTGAATTTCACACAGCACGTTGCTTGGAAAAACCATGCGCACATTAACACTATTGCTAATCTTACCAAAATGCTTGTTTTAAGCAAGATTATCTGTGCTTTGATAATTTATAGCAATAGCTGCAAATCTAACGTCAACATTTTTAAACCGATCTATCACCACGCCCTCAAACCAAGTTGCTATACTTTTCGGACGACGCCCATAAATAATATTATAACTGAAAGTGGTCGCCCAGCTTTAGAAAATAGACTTTATAAGTTAAAAGCCAAAATCGTCCTCAAGCTTCTTAGTTCAAACAAATATATTCTGGGTGATGACGTGAGAAAGATTATTATTGCGAAGAAAATTATAAAATTACCATCTGCAATTGACTATTGTTTGTACCTCGCAAAGGAATTGAATATTCCCTTAAAAATTTGCCGCTCAGTTAACTCCAACTTTATATCCAAAAAATGTTGAGAAAATCAAAATCCAACCATTTTCGACAATTCGCCTTGGTCATACAATTGCAACTCACCAATGGATCTTAAAGATGTCTCCCCTCCAAATCTGCAATTGTGGACAAATTCCCACCATAAAGCACATTGTCTGTGACTGCCTTAACTTTTCCTTAGAAGCTAGAGGCTAGAAGCATTGCATTTGAAGCGACTAATCCTACGGATATTCTATAATCAGCTACAGAACAGAATATCAATGCAATATATTACTTTATTACAACTACTAGGCTCAATATCTAATGTACTTTTATAAATTAAAGCCGATAGCCTGTGTTGCTAGTGCTCAATGTCTTTTTTTTTAGTCTAAGAATTTATTTCGTTAGTCTAAATTAGAATAATAATAACATATGCTTTTTTTTATATTTTATATTTTTCATTTCAATCAACACATGTTTTAAAGGTTTGAAAATAGTTACCGTTGCCGCTTCCTTTCTACACTGGCTTGTTCCTCTATTTTCGGCAAAAATTTTATTGCGGTATATTGAGGTTCAGTTTGACGTGGCAAATTAACCAGACCCAGAAATTTTTTAATACCAATAAAAAGTCTGAAAACGTAATACAAATTATTATTATTATAAGATACATTTTTATTATTTTGAAGAAATAACGAAGCGCAAATAAAGCATGACTTTGGCGAAAAGCTACGCTTGCCTCGGACAGAAACAACAAAATTATCATCTGTTCTAGTCTAACTGCATCATGAAACAAGCGCGAAGAATTAGGCTTTATTTACTAAAAAAAGAATGCTTGTGTACTAAAATTTTTATCTTATTAAGTAGAATATATATGAGAATTGGAATTTATAAGACAATTTTAGTATATAAAATTTTAATATATAAAATTATTGTTTTATAAACCATAATTCATAGGAGAGTTGGTTTGTTTTACATAGCAAGGCGTGGGAACGATGGTCATGCAGAATTGCTTACTCATATCACCACCGGATGACAATATCATCCTCACTTACAATCCTGTTTTGTCATCGTTCAACTATTATGAAATTTGTGCTAATGTTTGCCTGTGATAATTGTCACTCGGTATCACATTTCCCATTTTGAATCAAAAGTGACAGAAAACTCTCTAATAACAACTTCGACATAAAACAGGGCTATTAGTTTATGAAAATCACAAGTTAAAGTGCGAAAAGAAAGAAGAAAATATGCGGTTTTGCAAAGGAAAAAAAAATATTTGCAAAATGGAAATTGAAGGCAAATTCTTACCCTTAATAACCATTAATAATTATTTTAAGTGAGTGTAGACATGAGTCTCGACTAGTAACTTAATGGTCGTGGGTTCAAAACTCAAGTGCGGTAGAGTTTTTAATAAAAAGCCGAAAGCCTTAAATGCTAGTGCTTTAGGAGCTTAGTCTTGGAATTTATTATCTAGCTAAATTTATAATAATAATAATAGTAATAATAATGATAATAAGTGCTTGCAAATTGTAAAAGAAGTTACCAACCAAGATGCACTTAGAATCAATTAAATTATTGCTTGGAATTTGTGGAAAAACACCCGAAGAAGGAAAATTGGAAAAAAATAGTCCGACAAATCCACAGCAAATGAAAAATTTATAAAGGAAGTGCAAATTTAAACGGTATCATAAATGCGTCGAAGTGGAAAGAAGGAATATATAGAAAGATATTTATTTCAAATAATGTTAATTTTATTTGCAGCCTTTAAATCGTTGGAAAAATCAACCGAGATACAGGGCTCGTTTGCTTAAAAAATTTTTTTTTTATTTATTTTTAAGTTTCTTAAATTGAACATTTTTAAATGTTTACGTCACTTTAAAAGTGGTTGAAGTATGTTTAGCATTTTAAATGAAATTTTAGAAACGTTTTTACCATGAAATAAATATATTTATACAATTTGTTGTAATTCTTTTTCCTTCTCTTTGGATGTCGGTTGGATTGCTGCTAATGCTAGCTTCGTCCACAGAATCGGTTGCTGAGTCCATATCGGTATTAATTCTTCTTTTCGTAAGAATATTGCGACGAATGCAGCATGCATAGATTGTGTTACGCTACATTATCATGGTTATAATCCAAAAGTCTTCCCTAGAATAAGCACCTCAACTTTAATTTGAAGACGCCTAAATTGGAGCCAAATCATGTCATATTTTTATGATCTGCATACTTTATATATATATTTTTTTTTGTTAAGAGGTGAATAGACTAGGCCTGTCAACAATAAGACCTATATATTCAGTAACGTGATTAATTCTTAAAGTGATTTGCTCTTTTGGTTTTACAGTTAATACCAGCAAATTGAATGATGTCCAGGAAAAGAAACTTGATGAAGCAGGTCTGTTTTGGTAGGCGGAAAAGCTGTACACGTGGTCACTTACCTACTGTCAATTCCGGATATATACCCAGAAGATTGATTATAAGCTTTGGCTGCAGTCGAGTGTTGATGAGAAACACACACAGGTATTGGTTAAAAGAGAACAAAGTAAGTTTAAAGGAAACTGGAACAGATTAATAGAGGAAGTCAGCTGCTTGAGATGAGTGTTGTTGCCAGTACGAAATATTTCATAAAGATTATTGTATATGGTGAAAATACAGAAAGGTTGTCTAAAGGTGTGAATTTTTCTACATTTAAAGATTAGATGATCAGCTGATTGTACTAAGTTGCATACACCACAAGTATCAGACGGAATTGCTTGGACCGTTTTTAAATAGACATCATCATATATGTGATTCCTCATGGGTCTGTTGAGTATTTTACTTTGCAAAACCAAGACAATCGCAAAAATTTGATTGTCATAATGTTCAATTTCAGACTCCTTACGAAAACAGCTACAACCTGGGTACAACATTAATTTAAAGCTCTCAAATGCCGTGCCGATGTAAACAGAAACAAAAAAGAAGCCCTCTTTAAGAGGATGCTATACAAATCTTCGACAAGTAAAGCCATTGTAAAATCTAGATGTCTTAAGCCTTGTAGAAGATTGCCATAGTAACCTTCTACTTTCCACGAAATAAAGGCTGGACAACTTCCACGAACCTCAAAATGTAGTTCTTGTTAGAGATTTTGAATTCTCAGCTTGATAACACAATCTCAAAACACTTTTTAATACTATAAACTCTAGTTGTTTTAAACACGTAAACAAGTCCATGTCAAGTTTTCGTCACTCTTATGGTAGTTCTACTATTCGTGGTTCCTTAGACTTGGTTTTCTTCAATTCTAATCTGGTAATATTTGTATGGAGTATCAAGAGAGATATCCTGCGAAGCAGTCATTATGTTCTAATTGCTTTTAAAACTTGTATTAATTCTTTACAAAAGACTAACGGCTTGATATTTCGCAAAATATTGTTGGATCCAATTTAATGTTAGAGTAGAGCATAGCTTCAAATCAAAGCTGCAAACAGAATGTACAAGTATCCAATACGCAATAATGCAAACAACCAACCGTTCTTTCCCTTCAGCATCAGTTAAGAAAGTAGTTTACTGCTGCTGCCTGCGATGATTTAAATACAACATTTTAAAGGCTGTTTCCGGTCCGAGTGTGTCTGCATTATTGGATGCAATAAATCCATGTTGGACAAACAATACAATTCCAAATGATTGGTGGCGATTTAAAGTTGTACCAATCCATAACTTTGGCAAAAATCTTGACGCGCTCGTGAACTATCGACTCGTATTCCCCGTCCTTATAAAGGTCACCAATTTCATGGAAAAGCAAAGACTTAGGATTTTTAAGGACCAGAAATCTCATTTCTGTTGGGTCTTTTGCAACAGTTTTGGGAGATTTTAAAATACCTTTATATTTTAAATTCTTTAAGTTTTCCCTCAACTCATATTTTCGTTATGGGCTCTGATTCGATTGAGATACACGGGGGATTGCGAAGTTACCCAAGAGCCCAATTCTGTTTCTACTATATATGGCTATTTTACATCGCCTTTAGGGTTACAGAACACACATATTTCAGTATGCTGATGGCTTTTTGGAAATCTCGGCGGGAAGGCCTTTTTATGAGGCAGTGCTTGTAACGACCAACTTCTTTTATGATTCTTGTACTGATTTAAACATACTCTTAAATCTTTCCAAAACAAATGCGGTGAACTTCGCGAAAGGATCGAAGAATGTTGTCAAAGGTACTTTGTTGTACCGAAAAACTTTGCTCAAACTCGTTGCCAGATGATAATCTTTGGACATTTACTTTTTACGATGGTGGTCTCTAGATGTAATGAGATCCCTAGGAACTATATAACTTGCTATCAAAAATTCAACCCATTTTCACCAAAATCAATCCTATCACAATCTAATCCCCTACTCATGTCAAGTGAAAAATGGATCTAAATATCCGTACGTCTATAGTTAAATCTAAAAGTAAGTTTTCGCAATCAGTTCTGTGAGCTGGAATTAACAACTTATATACACAATGATTTTACAATCTATGCGATTGATGTTTTTGTTGATCCTGCTGACTCCAGCATCTCTGTGTTGAAGCATTCTGGCGCACTCCGTGGTAAATTTGAAGTTTTCGAAGAACTGTGTTTCGTCTTTATTGAACTTCGTGCTGTCAGACAAGACGTTTTTCTGACCAAGTCCAACGTTATTAAAAAATTCGTGGTGTTTTCCGAAAGCTAATCTGCCTTGGCCTTAATCAAAAACAAAAATTCGTACAACATGTATATTTTTGAAATCTACGATATGTTAAAAGATCTTCTCATCGATGCGTGTCACTTGATTTGGATATCGGGTCATTGAAGTTTTATCTTAAATCCAAAGACTACTGTGCGTGCAGGGGAAGCTTGGTTTGATGATATAACGCTAATACTGTCAAATGCCCTGCCCAAGAAGCTCTTCGTCTAATTCGAATTGGAAGGATGTATAACACATAATAGCGGGGACACCAAATATTCGCCTCTTCTATAAGATTCATCCCTGCGTGACATTTGAGACTCTGTCGAATGCCATCTTCGGGACATGGGAAATTAAAATACTCAGCAGAATCATGAATAATCACACCAACGACCATGTCTATTCAAAAATGGTACGAACACTGTCGTCCGATATTTGTGGGATGCGCCTCGTTTTTGGATGAACAAAATTTGTTACAATATTTAGCATATATAACAACTTTTATGCGACCTTTCGTGGTGGCAACAATCTTTATCTCAAGCAGCTGACTTCTTTTACTGAAACTGCCGAATTTTCTTTTTAGCTCAACTTTGGCCTACTTCCAATGTTACTAATTATTTGTGCTCTGTCCTCTGCTTATTCCTTCTTCGTCAGTCTAACATTCTAGATGAACCATAGCTTGAAATTAATCTTCCAGAATTAACTTCCGAACGGACGGTACTTAACTGGCAACCGCTAAATCTCTGCCTCCTAACAAAGGAGACCTTCACTTCTTGTCAAACATTATTTATACTACATTTACAGAACGCAAAAGATCAACACATAATATAAACTCATCACGCAGCTGGTCCTATAATCAACAGACCTAATCCATTCATCTAAAGAAACGAAGTATTATTATTATTATTTTAATTTTAGACTAATGAATTGAATTCTTAGACTAAAAAAAGAGACATTGAGCACTAGCAACACAGGCTATCGGCTCTAATTTAAAAAAATGGATATTAGATAATAAGCTTAGTAGTATTAATAAAGTAAAATATTGAATTGATATTCTGTTCTGAAGTTGATTGTAGAATGTACAAAGGGTTAATCGTTCCAAATGCAATACTTCTAGCCAAGGAAAAGTTGAGGCAGTCGCAGAGAATGTGCTTTATAGTAAGAGTTTGTCCACAACAGCAGATTGGGGGAGAAGACTTCTTCAGGATCCATTGGTGAGTTGCAATTGTATGACCAATGACCAGGCGAATTCTCGAAAATGTTTGGATCTTGGTTTTCTCAACATTTGTTGGATATAGAAGTGGAGGGGTTAATGCAAGAGTAGTGTTGATGATGGTATTGTAAATTTCCTTCTGCAATTTTCTCTTTAACTTTTCTTCCAATGTATCTTTGAAGATCCAATTTTTCCATGACATCATCCATAATTAGAGGAGCAGAAGCAGCATACTTTGCCGCTCGATCAGCCTGCTCATTTCCCAGTAAACCGATGTGACTTGGTACCCATAACATTTTAATTTTTCCGTCGGGTGTAGTAATTATATTCCTTAATTTGTTGATGGTGCTCCATCTCGAAGTCGAAGGGTTCCGGGTAGCTAGTAATACAGACAAACTGTCAATAACAATGACGGTTTTGAGTTTGTTTTTATGGGCAAGGTTGGCAGCGTGAAGGATAGCTCTGGCTCCGGTTATGAAAGTTGAAGTGCTTTCGTGAAATATGTGGTTGAGAAGAACCCGTCCTGTAGCATCTACCACCGCACCAGCAGGAGGCAGACCAGGAGATTTTGAGCCGTCTGTGTACAAAAGATTCCAACCAGTATTGTCCGATACTTGGGTTTTCTCAGCTATTAGATTCCTGAAGACGTAATTTGGAGTATCTTCTTTCTTGTGCATAGACAGTGAGATGTCAAAAGAGCAGTCTTTCAAAATCCAGGGAGTTTTAACACCAAAAGAGCGGGAAATTTTTAAGGGAATGTTCAATTCCTTTGCGATGCACAAACAATGGTCAATTGCAGATGGTGACTTTGGAATTTTCTTCGCAATAATAATCTTTCTTACGTCATCACCGAGAATGGATTTGTTTGAATTAAGAAGCTTAGGGACTATTTTAGCTTTTAGCTCATACAGTCTATTTTCTAAGGTTGGGAGACCAGTTTCAATTATAATATTACTTATGGGCGTCGTCCGAAAAGCATAACAACTTGCTCTAACGGCTTGGTGATAGACCGGTTTAAGGATGTTGATATTAGATTTGCAGCTATTGCCATAAATTATCAAAGCATAGTCAATCTTGCTTAACACAAGCATTTTGGTAAGATAAGCGATAGTGTTAATATGCGCATGGCTTCTCCAAGCAACGTACTGTATGAAATTTACCCTTGTTAAAAGGGAGTTTTTTAAACGAAGGCAGTGTGCTTCCCAACGATAATTCTTTGAAAACGTGAGCCCGAGAACATGGAGCGTCTGCACATTTAGTAATGGTAAGCCGTTAATATGCATCAGTAGGTTTCCTGCATCGCACATTTGTTTTCGACAAATGTGCATTTTTTGATTTTTGTATAGAGATTATAGCTCCTGACGAGTTTGCCCATGTGGAGATCTCACATGCAATAGATTCGAGGATGTTGATTGCTTTCGTGTTGTCTTTTTCTTTTGTAAAAATGTGTACATCGTCCGCGTAGAGACAATGTTCCACTCTTGGTACACGGCAAAGAATTTCGCTGATTTCGTTGGAAGCGATCTGGAAAAGCGTGACAGAGAGAGGAGATCCTTGCGGAATGCCATTCTTTAGCGGAAAGGAATCAGAAAGATGATTGTTGATTCTAACTTTGAACCGCCGATGCGACATGAATGATTTGATGTAGTTGAAGAGTTTGGGTCCAACATTCCATGATTTCAAGAGTCTTAAGATAACATGAAGACCAACTCTGTCAAATGCTTTTTCGAAATCAATTGAGAGAATTGTTACGTGATTTCGTTCGGAAATTGCTTTGCTTGTGAAATAATCAATATGTAACAGAGCGTCGATGCATCCTCTACCCCGCTTGAAACCAACTTGTTGCTTTGTTATCAGGTTCTTGGATTCAAGAAACCAAGATAATCTAGATGCCATAATCTTCTCTAAAACCTTAGAGAGGCAAGATAAAAGAGAAATTAGGCGATAATCAGATGCGATGGAGACATTTTTTGACTTTGGAATTGGAACAACTGTTGCCATTTTCCACATGTAGGGTATATGGCCAGTCATAAATACCGTATTATATAGGTCCAGTAATTTCTTTTTACTAGACTTAGACATAGCACTGATCATTTGATATGAGATGCGGTCTAGACCAGGTGTCTCCCCCTTCTAATTGGAGAGACAACTTCCAAGTTCTGAGGTAGATACGCTATTTTCCAGGAACATGGCACATCTATCGATATTATTTGAAGGAGATATTGGAGTCCTTTTATTTTCAATGAAAGCACTGGAGAAGTTGCTGTCAGAGGAGTATTCGCACCACACTTTTCCAAAGTAATTAGAAATCTCATCTGCGTCAGTTAAAGTTCCATTGGGAGTGCAGATGGCAGAAATTTGGTTCAAGTTTGAAGTCCCATTAAGTCTGTTGATTTTGTTCCAGACAACTTTCATTGATGTATTTCTGTGAATTCGTCTCGAGAAAAGTTCGAAACTAAGTGCCTTTGATTTCCGTAATTCCTTCCTGAATAGAGCATTGGCCTTTTTGTATAATAACAAGTGATTCTGATCAGGACATCTCTTAAAGCGGTGCCATAGATCCATTTTATTTTGTTCCACCATGGAACCCTAGCTCGTTTAAAAGAGGTGTTGGATTGAGGAATAGAAAGATGAGCAGCCGTGCGAATCGATTTAGACATAATAGCAGCATCATGGTTGCAGTTTCCGTTAAATGGCTTTGAGTTCAAAAATGACTCCACCTGTTTGGAGTAATTGATTCAATCCGCTTTATCTAGGAGGAATTAGGCCTGTTTTGCTGGAGTAGCAGAGGACGTTGAAAGTTTAAGATCGATTATGATTGGAAAGTGATTACTATTGTGTAGATCATCAGAAATAGACCAGGACACCAAAGGAAGAAGTGATGGAGAGCAACATGTTAAATCAATATGTGAAAAAGTATGATGAGTTGAGAAGTGCGTTGGTTTTCCATCATTTAAAACGCAAAGGTTGCTTTGAAAAAAGGCCTTTTCTAAAACAGTACTGCGAGTGTTGTTCACTGTTGAGCCCCAGATGGTATTCCAGCTGTTGAAATCGCCGCATATAATTAATGGGGGGAAAGTACGGAGAATAAACTGTAGAGTTCTTGCTGAGAAAACGATTGCGAAGGTGGAATATAGAGCGAAAGCGCTGTAAATTTTATATTTAACATTATTTGTATCGCTACGGCTTGTATATTTGAGCTTAAATTTATGCGTTTGTGAGGTATACTTGATTTTATAAAAACACCTACTCCTTGTTTGGAATATGAATTTTGATCAGCATTCGTGAAGTATCCAGTATATGATTTGGGTGGAATAGGATTATAAGAGCTTTTACAATGGGTTTCTTGAAGCGATAAAAAGGTTGGATTAAAATCATTTATGAGTGTACGGAGTTCATCAAAATTATTAATAAGTCCCTTAATGTTCCATTGTAGAATTTTAAAAACTTTATTTAATTGTAATGACATGTAAGCAGAGTGGAGGGAGGGTTAAGTTGACATGTCAGCGTCTCCGTCGAGAAGGTCACTATAGGAATTTTTCGTGAATGATTTATTCTTACCAGCAGAATAATCTGTATTTAGGTGATTTGGTACATTTGAAACGCAACGGGTTGGCGCACGTGAATAATTTGAAATTGAAGGTTGATTGAGGGATGAAAGAATGGATTCATTAACACTTGTGATTTGTTGATTAAAGTTGAGAGCTGGAGATTCTGGAGAATTTGGTATATTAGATTTTAGCAAATGTGTTGTTGTTTTAATTTTTTCAATATTTGCAGTTGCTTTGGTTTTCAAAGGTTGATTAATGGATGAAAGAATGGATTCATTACCACTTGTGATATGTTGAGTAAAGTGAGATTCTGGAGAATTTGGTATATTAGATTTTAGCATATATGTTGTTGTTTGGATTTTTTCAATATTTGCAGTTGCTTTGGTTTTTTCAATATTATCTTTGGCAAGTGATGTAACTGGTTTCGCAATATAATTTTTGGTTAATGGTGGAACAGGTTTTTCATTGGAAGCAGTTGCAGTTAAAGTCTTACTAGGCTCGATTTGCGAGGCAACAGCAGCATAGGTATTACTTTTGCCAATTCCATGGGCTACAGATGGATTTCTTTCCCGGTATGTGCGTCGCGCTTCGCCCATGCTACAGTAATTTTCTGTTTTGATTTTTAATATTTCACGCATCTGTACAAAACGTGGGCATTGTTTGTCTAACGCTGAGTGTTGATCATTGCAATTTATGCAGAAACTACGGGTACAGCTTACAGTATGTGGAGGATGACCACAGTTAGCACAAGATGCAGCATTAGTGCATCTTTTTGCCGTATGACCCAGGCGTTGGCAATTTTTACACCTCATAGGATTTGGGATGTATAGTTCTACTTTACATTTATGCCACGCCACATCAACTGTTCGCGGTAATCGATAACGATCAAAAGTTAAAATAATCCTTCCTGTAGGAGAGCGTGTTTTTCCGTCATCATTCAGTTTGGTTAATTTATATGCTTCAGTCACTCTTTGAATGCCCATTTCGCGAACAATTTCATCTTCCGGCACATGCTTTAAGCAAGGGGCATAAATTACGCCTCGAACC